AGGGCTGCTCGTTTCGTAATGCGAGATTATTCCAGACTGAGCAGTGTGACCGACATGTTGACAACCCTAGGCTGGTTTTCACTGGAAGAGAGAAGGAAAGTTAACCAACTTACCTACTAAAATAATACACAACATAGTTCACATTAACTCATCATCCATAGTCCCCAAACCAGCACCGGCTCATAGAATTCACAACCACCAGTTCACAGAAATTGCAGCAAGGACAGACATCTATATGCAGTCATTCCTACCCAGAACTATCCGGAAATGGAACAAGCTCCCTCAAGACACCACAGACGCCCCAAACCACAACACCTTTAAGGATTTAATTTAGTTCCACTTCCCAAGGCCTCCTTGCTAGACTTCCACGTGGAGTATTCAGGATAACCACCAAGTACCAAGTAAAGGTGCAATTTTTTTATGAAATTGAACCCTCATTCCCCCAATTTATAAAAATTACCTGGAAAGCAACAAAACTATCTCGCAGCAAAATTAATTTCACTGGGTTAAAGTATTAAGTTTCCAATAAGCAAGAATGGACAAAATAACATGAATGAGATTACACTTAGCTGACCTGGCAAAGGAGCAAATGTCCTCACCAAGTAAAAGAATAACAAGTCACCTTTGGATTTGTCCTCCTCATCTTCATTGGGAATAACATCCATAGTGATGGCCACATCTGTTGGCATCTTGACAACATCACCCTCTGTAACTGTGGTTGACGTTACCTCCCCAGTTGGGACATCATCAGAAGTTGGTCCCTGCTACTCATCCATTTTGGTGTTATTACGTTGGACCAAAAACACACTGGAAATATAAAGAAACTGCACATAAAGCAGTTGTATACTATTGAAAGCCATGACCAGTGGGATATCTAGGGGGAGGGTCAAAATTTGTCCCTGCTCATTTTGACTTTTTAGGACATATCATTTTCTGATGGCTGATAGGTCATTTAAGGGAAAAATTACGGCGATCGTGAAGTGTAGGGCCCCCGTTTTGTTTTGATCAAATTAGAATCAAAAATGTTTTTTATTGCTCAAAACTCACCTTTACAATCAAAAGCAGCCTTTCTCAATTCTAATAACACCCATTTTCCAATTTTGAACAGATTCTTGGGGTAGAAATCACGTTTTTTTACTGTGCGGTTTGTACCTTGGGATTCAGCGCGCCTTGCATGCTCACGGAACATCGCGCGGTGATTGCCATCTTAATTTTCGGGTCGCATGTTGTCGCCGCGCCGTCATTGTCATTTTACCCCCAAATTTCCCTCAAAACATCAAAACCCTGCCCTCTATCTATGACAAACCTGTTTATTGAGAATGTTGCAAACTATTATGGTAGGTCAAATAATTTTTAAGTGGATTTTGTTCCCCAAGTTATAGGAACCGGGCCCTGCACTTCACGATGGCCGAAGTATTAACTCAACTGTAGCTGGAGTTACCCAGCCCTAAATTTTATCATTGGGTTGTCATCTAGATGACAACCCAATGATACCCAATTGGGTGCTGGGTAACTCCAGCTAACTCAACTGAGAAAACACTTAAAAATTTTCAGACCAGTCTCAAAGGGTTTGTGCACAGGGTGGCAAGTGATGGCCAGATACGGGAATCTTTCCTTTAATGTTAATTGTTATTGTTAATTAAGCATCTCAAACTTTTCACGAATGAGATACCACGCTATTGAATACAAATAATAAACGCAGTACGTCTATCAAACTCAAAGTATCATGTCCGATATGGCCACTTTTTGCAGTACGTTTCAGTTTCACTAAATAAAATAATGCAGATTTCACCAATAGCTAATATTAACAACTAAATTAATGTTATCATTTATTAAATGGTTAGATAAAATTATCTACTGATACTGACCAAGAAAGTGACACAGGCAACAGGTTTCGGCCACTCGGAAGATAGCGCCAGATTTACAGTCGCGTGTTTATGTTGTTGAATGCTGCCCTCATGTGTCGTTCGATTGGCATGCAAGCTCTTTCGAAACATCGGCCTCCATCGCAGGTCCCTACTGCTTCAGCTTCATATATTGAACTGGTAAAATATCCTTTTTTTTAACGAGACGCATACGTCTTCCATAACGGAAGCTCAACAATTTTTATTTGTCTATTATTATTTGACAACTCACGCTTTCTGGGTAGCTGTGTGGAAATTTCATAATCTTCTTAAATTTTTATAGTAGACGAAGCCGCAGCTGGGAATGAATCGAATTTTTAAAAACTCTTTAAACCCATGTTTTCTTTTTTTCTGGAGGGCTAGGCCGGCGCTGTTTACGCAACTCAAGGGTAATCCTTACTTTTAGGACCCCTTTCCTATATAAGGTTAAAAGACTCACCAAAACAGCTGACTAAATGACACTCAAAAGTGACATTCTGATATTTCATGACACATTTGAACATTTGGCAATGACACCTCTTGAATATCAGCAGGTTTGATTTTGTAGAAAGAGGGCAGGGTTTTGATTTATGAGGGGTTAAAGACGACGATGACAAACAGAAAATAAATTTAAAAAGCAAGATGGCGAACTGCAAAAAAAGGTAGGAAAGTCACATTTTCTTTGAAAGTGCTTTCAAAATTATAACTAACATGAGTTTGTCTGAAGAAAAAAGGCTTCTTTAGCCTGCAAAAGTCACTTTGGTATTGGACAGTCATCTGCAAAAGTCAGTTTTGAACAGAACTCGTACAAAATAGAGGTGTCCTAAAAGTAAGGATTACCAACTCAAGTAAGTTTCCACAGGGAGAAATGGCTTTAAGGGAAATAAATAAGCTGTTTACGCTGAACACTAGTTTTTCAGTTTTCCCCTTGACCAGTTTGAGTGGCTCTTCACCAAGGTAATGAAAGTCGAAGGAGCGTCAATAGAGCTAGAGAGGGGCTATGTGCAAATATTATGTTGGACATTTTACAAATCCCCGGGAGCATCAAACTAGGCCTATATCTATACTAATAAAAAAGTAATAATATAGCAGTGTTGAACCCCACCGTACAGGAGCGACACAAAATATTGAATTCTACTTCGAATGCTGGAGGGAACTATATGCTTAAAGGGAATATACAACATTTGCAAACATCGAAAAATATAACTACCCAGTTTTTACGAAATACCTTACTAGGCTGTTAGTAAATGACAGTGTAAAGCATCCTGTAAAATTATGACACCTGGTGTGAAGTCATTTTCAAGAAAAGTGGTATTTTTGTATACATTTCCAACGGTGGTCGGCCGACCACCGTTGGAAAAACCTAACTATTTTAACTACTGCGCCAAATTTACCATTTGTTCAGACCAAATTTTGTTTGCTATTGGTTACATGTTCATGAACGGGTGCAGGTCAACTAGACTGGTTCCCTCACCTTACAATTTTCCGGCATCTATAAATTGATACATTTCATCTTTAGTGGAGTCAGGGAACCAGACTACTTGAACATTTTTGTTTTTCTTGATTTTTCCCAGCATTTTCGAACACAAAACTACAAACATGTCAGTGTAACAATATTTGATCTATTATACTCACCCCTCAAATAATTCATTTCTGAAAATTACAGCAAAACCCAATGATGTACATTCCCTTTAAATGTTTCCAGTGACGGGTGCATATGTATAAGTAAACACTAAATGAAATGTTTTTTGTGGCTATAACTTTGCCAATAGAAATAATTATTAACAGACTTTTGTCTAAAAACTGTTGAGATACTTTGGACAGTATTTTTACCTATGAAATATAAATGAGGTTGATATTTGTTTCACATGAAGTAAAGAATAATAAAAAAAGACTGCCGAAAAATTTAAATTGATTAAACACAGCGTCACTGTAGCTCACCTATTATTACTGCATTTCACTGCCAACCTGGTTTGCTACAGTGGTGAAGCAACAACTCACAAATAATTAAGATACCTAAAGTAGTCAAAACAAAACTAGAAAGACACAACATTTTTAATCATCCTTTTTATACAACTCGGCAGAAATTCCTTAATGCCTGGTGAACTGGATAAAAATCGCCACTTGAAGGAGTTTAGGCAACACAAAAAGAGAAATTTCCCATTCCACGATAATAGAGATGCTGCGATAATAGGGAGTCCGACTAAACTTAAAAATATAGCAACGGCATACTAAAGTTATATTGCAAATGTTTCTATTTTGGGAGAATCTGTATACATTTGTAAAATGTTATGTAATTGGCGCACGGATGATTTTCAGCAAAACATTCTCGGAACTCTTTCCATGCATAGGATTTAACTAAGCTTCTTAGACTTTCGACAAAAGTATATTATAATATTTGTGGATTTATTTTATTTACCTCCTATTTTCAATTATGATATGATTTTAAATATTATGCATGCAGTTGTTTTTACCAAAATGGAAAGAAATTCATTTATTTCATATATAAACAAACGCGCATTTAATAACAATGTCGGATGACAAATCCACATTGGTTTAGGAAGTAGGACACAATGGAGACTTTCGTGGCAGCCAATTTGACTCATCTGCAGACGATGACGTTCTTGGTGCTTCCTTGACGTTCGATATTGTTCAAATTATTTTTCTATGTAGTTAATATTAGTCATTCTTTCAATGTTAAAGTCCACAACTGTGTAGAATTTAGTTTATGCAAGAAAAAAATTGGTCCAAGTACTAAGTGCGCAAAAAATGGCCAATGTTTTTCTACATCACTACCTCGTGTTGGTTCAGCATCAGAGGTGACGGAATGTTGCAACCTAACGCTGCTTTTTCCTTCGTATATCATCTCAATGAAGGTCAGTAATTGCAAAAATGATGATATATTGATAAGACATGAATCTGGGACTGAGAAACATTTCCAATTTTGTTAGGAAATACTTAAAAAAAAATCTTGACTCTCCATAGACTTTGTACACAACTGCAGAAGTAGCGTCAGGTTGCAACATTCTTTCCGAGGTGACTGTTGGCTCTCCAAGAAAGCCTTCTAAAACCTCTTCCACCGCCTCAAAAGAGATCCCATCTGCGAATGGTTTCTTTGTTAAATGTTTTATGCCTGGTTTTTATGAACTGCCACTTTGAAAACTGCTGTGAAGATTTGGATTTGAGTAGAAAATGAGATTTCTACTGATTTCATTGGCGTAGCCATTTTATAACATTTTTTTGACATCATACATGTTAACTTGACAGTTTTTCTCAATTGTTTTTTTCGCAACTGTAGGCGCATCCATCAGTGCAGACGAAAGGCGCTGAGGCAGACTGGACGCCCATACAATGCACAGACAGGGAGTGTAGCCACTCCTTGATGAAGGCTCCGCATCTGCACTGTCCATTCTGCTCCCAGGACAGTCTCTTCACTGATGAGATTCTCCTCAAGGCGCACTACGTACAGGGTCAAGTACGTGGATAAAGGCATCAACTTTGGGGGTGAGTTTGGGAACAAGACCAAGTGCACCAGACTTTTCCAACTGATGCGCACTGTGCTGCATGTGGCAGGGTTAGGGTTAATTATAAAGATAAGTTGAAGGTAGTGGACAGCAGGACAAGGTAGTGGCATTTGTGGGAGTTTTATGAAATTGACAGATACCTGGGCTGGTTATTCTTAGCAGATATCAGTGTTCGATAAACTCCCTGTAGAGGGGTGTTTCAAAAAAGCATGAAGTGAACTTGTTGAACAAAATCTGGGGGGTTTTTTACCGAAAAGTTTTGACTCAAGTATCCATTCTTTTGAGAATGATTAGACACACCTTTTTGGTTTAAAGTGTTTGAAAGCGCACTTATTTTTAACCTTCACAGTTTCAGTGCTGTTTCAAGACAACTGAGTATGCCGTTGCTGTGATGTAATGGTCCCCTTGTATAATCTGCATGAAAAAAAACCCCATGAAATAAATTTAATCAGTTGAAATTTATGTACCTTGTGAGCAGGTATGGTAGTTCTACAAGGATTTGGGTGGATTATATCAAATGCCAACACTTCGTGTCTTTTAAAATAATTAATTGTGAACCTAATTTTATCACTGTACGTTTGTGTCGTAAATTGAATCTTTTGCTACCTTGCAGGTTTAAGTCTCATTTTATCAACCTTAACGACTGCACTCCACCATTTTTACCCAGGATGTCAACCAGATCTTCACCACATACACTGACCCAGCACCCAACAGTACCAGCCTGGTAACACACCTCATAGTCCCCCAGTCACAGCAGCCATCGGAGACGGACACATCATCCCTGGGGCTATAAGCAGACTGATGGGCAGCAGCCGCAGATCGAGTACCAGTATGCCTGCATCAATGATCCAAGCCAGAGCACTGCCAATGGGGAAGGTAAGATGGTAAGAATATTAACCCTGACCCTCCAAGAATCCTTCAGCATCTACCCAGAGGTTAAGGTGGATAATGCCACCAGCAGTGAAGGATAATTAGAAGAAGCTGACCAAAAAGCCAAGGGGGAGGCAATTGATGCAAGGAAGAACTCTTCCCCCAACCCCATCCCCCCCCCCCACTTTGTTTTCAATTGATATATCGTGAATCCATATGGAAGAAGGGAATGGGTAAACAACAGCATGTTTAATACAGTTGTCTTCACTCCTGCACTTGTTTGGTCAATAAAATAAATAAAACAACAACCAAAAGTTCAGCATTTTTTTTAGAGGGTTGGGGTGGGTGAGGGCCAATATTGACAGTGGATTTTACAAATTGAAATTACAAGGTGCAAAGGGTGTGCCATTGGTGTTATAAGTTGATTGAATTTTGGAGGATTCAGGAAGGTTCTAAGCAACAAAAAAAATCTAATAAGTCAGGGTGGCAGTACATTTTGAGAGCTGACTTCAACAATTAATTAAATATTGGCATTTGTCCTTCACCTTGCCCACCTAATGTAAGGAATAAGGTTTGAAAAAGTGAGTGATTGCTTGCACCCAGTTACAAGGAATTACATGTTCTTGACACACTGCATCACTTTGGACTTTCTTGCCTGTATCCTGTTTTTACCGCTACATATCATCTGTCCCATTCAAGCGCAACATATATGTCGACCTTTCTACTCCATAAACTCCTCCCATCATTTCCCCTCTTTGTGTAGCCCACACCTGGAGTGACCTTTTGATGACCGACTTTCATTATTACAGGAATTATTATCCAGGATAATTACTCAACCTTTCCCTCTCGTAAACAGTTGTCCTTATTGAAATACCAGATGAAGGAAGCAAAGAGGATTTGGAGGATGAGACTTGCTACACAGAGCACAACTTGTCGCTGCTGCTGCAGGAGAAGGAACGTCTGGAGAAGACTCTTGAGGAGGAGCGGACCACGTGGGCCCAGACAGAGCACAGGATGAAAGGCACTATAGAAAGGCTTCGTACAAAGGTGAGTGGGCATTCCATCTGGTCTTGGTCTAAGAATGAGTTTGGATCTTGTTCCCTGCATGCAACAGGTACCAAGGGCGTCAATCGCTTCTTAAACGTGGGAGGGGGGACATACCTTGATCAGAACTAATGCAGGCACACTAATGCGACTGCGTTCTTTCAGTGGTCAGATTTCTGTCAGGATGCCAGCTGTCATGGCTGTGGGCGATCATGGTGTGCACTGTTGTTGTCATTGCTCTACATTTTCTACACGTTCTACGTTGTTCTATGCGCTGACACTGCTTATGATAAATGCAGACAAACTGTTCCACACATTTTGTACACAAGCTCAGATGTGTCGTTTATCCTTGTGTAGAGGATTCGTGGTTTCACTCATACTCTAGTTGCACTAAATAACTGGGTAACAACACATGTGCCTTCTTAAGCATTCATGCTCCAACTGCACACATCATAAAGTGCATAAATGTCAGACTTTGGTGTGCGCTGTCATGGTTGTGATTGGTTACACATCATGGGTCAGAGCCTAATGGATTGGTCTATTAAAATTCCATCTGTAAACAAATAATTTCTCTGCCCATCCGTCTTGCCCTCCAGGTTGAGTATTTGTCCAACACAAACATGTCACTCAAGCAGCAGCTGTCCATGATGCACACGTCCAGTTTGAAACGTCTAACCAACGACAGCGAGAACCAGTCCATTTTGCAAGAGTTACTGCAACACATGTCTGAGGAGCACACCCAGCTGCTGCACCACCATCTAGCACAGCTACGGCTGTACACTCAGGCCTGCGCATTATCCAAATCAGCCCCCGAGGAATCTGCAGCTGAATCTACAGTCTTGGTACCAGACCTGGCTGACCAATCACAGGACATCTCACACATGGCCATGATGTCGTCCTCGGAGGGCACCCTTGGGAACATGGAGCAGACAGTCGTCATGACGATAACGTCTGAGGAGGATTCGGAGCCGCTCGGCAACATCGTGGATAACCCCGGAGATACTGTGGGACATGACTCCTTGACTTTGGATAAGGACGTTCACTTGTCACCAAATGACATTCTGTACCAACTGACAAGCGAGGGACTGTCACTAAGACATGACACCTCTGAGTCGGGTCACGTTTATCAATCAGGTAGAACTCATTCACATCACAACACAGGCTGTGATGTCACTCAACAGGATTTTCACAAGAACAAAAGTTTGAAATTGGTTCTTTCCAACAGCACGCCATAAATATTCTGCCCCGATGGCTTTGACAAGAGAACGTTTGAAGACAACATCTCAACTGAGGGACCACCATTAAAATGAGGGAAAACTAACAGCCTGAAAGCCACTTAACTAAATAAAACCTGACATATGTTGTAAACAGTGTACACTCAGTGTTGTCTTAGGGCTTAGTTGGGGGGGGGGGGAGTTGAACTAATGAGTTGAGTCTTCATGGAAGTTTGTCTTACCTGAATGAAAAATTTTACCAAAGCAACTGGCCTTGGTCTCTCCTATCTTTTCGAGTTCTCGATGGGCAATCCCGAATCCGCTCAGTGAATGGGCGTCGTTGTAGGCCCAAACAGATCCATGTAGGTCCTCAAATCTATTACTGAAACATAAACGATGCAATTATGATTAACATTGAAACATTTGGTCGTATGTATAAAAACTAGCATTTGCTTTTTTTTTTACTACATATTTTTAAGCATAACTTTTATATGCATGAATAAAAATGAGAGCAAATGCTTTCACTATTTGCTTCAAGCTAAAAGTATTTGCTTTTTTACTTTTTGGCTTTTGCTAGACTAGAAGTGTGGACTGGTTTCAAACTTGAAAAAATATAAATTTCAATTGACCTCAAAATTAATAAAATTTTAAAATCTAAAACTCCAACTGTGGGACTTGAACCAGCAACCTTCAGAAGTTCAGATTTAGGGTCATCAGTCCGTATTACTTGATTAAGCACAACTTCACACTATTTTGTGGTTACAAAATTAACTGTAAAGTTTCAATTGACCTAAAAAGTAGTAAAATTTTGAAATCTAAAATTCCCAGCGTGGGAATGAACCTGCAACCTTTAGATTTAGAGTCAGCAGTCTGAACCACTGCACTAAGCATAATTTCATGCTTTTTAGTGGTTACGGAATTAACTATCAAGTTTCAATTTACCAAAAGAAATAAAACTTTAAAATCTAAAATTCCCACCCTGGATTTGAACCCACAACCTTCAGATTTCAAGTCAGCAGTCCATACCATTGGACTAAGCATAATTTCACACTTTTTAGTGGTTACAAAATTAACTATAAAGTTTCAATTTACCCAAAAATAAATAAAATCTAAAATCTTAAATTTCCAACCTGGATTTGAACCCGCAACCTTCAGATTTAGAGTCAGCAGTCCATACCATTGGACTAAGCATAATTTCACACTTTTTAGTGGTTATGAAATTAACTATAAAATTTAAATTTACCCTAAAAGACATACAATTTTAAAATCTAAAATTTCCACCCTGGATTTGAACCCACAACCTTCAGATTTAGAGTCAGTAGTCCTTACCATTGGACTAAGTGTAATTTCACAATTTTAAAGGTTACGATATTAACTATAATGATTTAATTTACCCAAAAAAGTAATAAAATTTTAAAATCTAAAATTCCCACCCTGGAATTGAACCCACAACCTTCAGATTTCAAGTCAGCAGTCCATACCATTGGACTAAGCATAATTTCACACTTTTTAGTGGTTACGAAATTAACTATGAAGTTAAATTTACCCCAAAAGACATAAAATTTCAAAAACCAAAACTCCACCCCTGGATTTGAACCCACAACCTTCAGATTTCAAGTCAGCCGTCCGTACCATTGGACTAAGCATAATTTCACACTTTTTAGTGGTTACAAAATTAACTATCAAGTTTAAATTTACCCAAAAAGAACTAAATTTTAAAATCTAAAATTCCCCCCCTGGAATTGAACCCGCAACCTTCAGATTTCGAGTCAGTAGTCCATACCATTAGTCTAAGCCTAATTTCACACTTTTTAAAGGTTACAAAATTAACTATAATGTTTTAATTTACCCCAAAAAGTAATAAAATTTTAAAATCTAAAATTCCCACTCTGGAATTGAACCCACAACCTTCAGATTTCGAGTCAGTAGTCCATACCATTGGACTAAGTGTAATTTCACAATTTTTAAAGGTTACGAAATTAACAATAATGTTTTATTTTACCCAAAAAAGTAATAAAATTTAAAATGTAAAATTCCCACCCTGGAATTGAACCCACAACCTTCAGATTTCGAGTCAGTAGTCCATACCATTGGACTAAGTGTAATTTCACAATTTTTAAATGTTACGAAATTAACTATGAAGTTTCAATTTACCCAAAAATAAATAAAATATAAAATTTCCAACCTGGATTTGAACCCGCAACCTTCAGATTTAGAGTCAGCAGTCCATACCATTGGACTAAGCATAATTTCACACTTTTTTGTGGGTACGAAATTAACTATTAAATTTAAATTTACCCAAAAAGACATAAAATTTTAAAATCTAAAATTTCCACCCTGGATTTGAACCGACAACCTTCAGATTTAGAGTCAGTAGTCCATACCATTGGACTAAGTGTAATTTCACAATTTTTAAGGGTTACGAAATTAACTATAATGTTAATTACCCCAAAAAGTAATAAAATTTTAAAATCAAAAATTCCCTCCCTGGAATTGAACCCACAACCTTCAGATTTTGAGTCAGCAGTCCATACCATTGGACTAAGTGTAATTTCACAATTTTTAAATGTTACGAAATTAACTATGAAGTTTCAATTTACCCAAAAATAAATAAAATCTAAAATTTCCAACCTGAATTTGAACCCGCAACCTTCAGATTTAGAGTCAGCAGTCCATACCATTGGACTAAGCATAATTTCACTCTTTTTTGTCGTTACGAAATTAACTATAAAATTTAAATTTACCCAAAAAGACATAAAATTTTAAAATCTAAAATTTCCACCCTGGATTTGAACCCACAACCTTCAGATTTCGAGTCAGTAGTCCACACCATTGGACTAAGTGTAATTTCACAATTTTTAAAGGTTACGAAATTAACTATAATGTTTTTATTTACCCAAAAAAGTAATAAAATTTTAAAATCTAAAATTCCCACCCTGGAATTGAACCCACAACCTTCAGATTTCGAGTCAGTAGTCCATACCATTGGACTAAGTGTAATTTCACAATTTTTAAATGTTACGAAATTAACTATGAAGTTTCAATTTACCCAAAAATAAATAAAATCTAAAATTTCCAACCTGGATTTGAACCCGCAACCTTCAGATTTAGAGTCAGCAGTCCATACCATTTGACTAAGCATAATTTCACACTTTTTTGTGGGTACGAAATTAACTATTAAATTTAAATTTACCCAAAAAGACATAACATTTTAAAATCTAAAATTTCCACCCTGGATTTGTACCCTCATCCTTCAGATTTAGACTCAGCAGTCCATACCATTGGACTAAGCATAATTTCACACTTTTGAGTGGTTACAAAATTAACTATCAAGTTTAAATTGACCCAAAAAGAAATAAATTTTAAAATCTAAAATTTCCACCCTGGATTTGAACCCACAACCTTCAGATTTCGAGTCAGTAGTCCATACCATTGGACTAAGTGTAATTTCACGATTTTTAAATGTTACGAAATTAACTATGAAGTTTCAATTTACCCAAAAATAAATAAAATCTAAAATCTAAAATTTCCAACCTGGATTTGAACCCGCAACCTTCAGATTTAGAGTCAGCAGTCCATACCATTGGACAAAGCATAATTTCACAATTTTTAAAGGTTACGAAATTAACTATAATGATTTAATTTACCCAAAAAGGAATGAATTTTAAAATCTAAAATTCCCACCCTGGAATTGAACCGACAACCTTCAGATTTAGAGTCAGCAGTCCATACCATTGGACTTAGTGTAATTTCACAATTTTTAAAGGTTACGAAATTAACTATGAAGTTTCAATTTACCCAAAAAAAAATAAAATCTAAAATCTAAAATTTCCAACCTGGATTTGAACCCGCAACCTTCAGATTTAGAGTCAGCAGTCCATACCATTGGACTAAGCATAATTTCACACTTTTTAGTGGTTACAAAATTAACTATAAAGTTTCAATTTACCCAAAAATAAATAAAATCTAAAATCTTAAATTTCCAACCTGGATTTGAACCCGCAACCTTCAGATTTAGAGTCAGCAGTCCATACCATTGGACTAAGCATAATTTCACACTTTTTAGTGGTTATGAAATTAACTATAAAATTTAAATTTACCCTAAAAGACATACAATTTTAAAATCTAAAATTTCCACCCTGGATTTGAACCCACAACCTTCAGATTTAGAGTCAGTAGTCCTTACCATTGGACTAAGTGTAATTTCACAATTTTTAAAGGTTACGATATTAACTATAATGATTTAATTTACCCAAAAAAGTAATAAAATTTTAAAATCTAAAATTCCCACCCTGGAATTGAACCCACAACCTTCAGATTTCAAGTCAGCAGTCCATACCATTGGACTAAGCATAATTTCACACTTTTTAGTGGTTACGAAATTAACTATGAAGTTAAATTTACCCCAAAAGACATAAAATTTCAAAACCAAAACTCCACCCTGGATTTGAACCCACAACCTTCAGATTTCAAGTCAGCCGTCCGTACCATTGGACTAAGCATAATTTCACACTTTTTAGTGGTTACAAAATTAACTATCAAGTTTAAATTTACCCAAAAAGAACTAAATTTTAAAATCTAAAATTTCCCCCCTGGAATTGAACCCGCAACCTTCAGATTTCGAGTCAGTAGTCCATACCATTAGTCTAAGCCTAATTTCACACTTTTTAAAGGTTACAAAATTAACTATAATGTTTTAATTTACCCCAAAAAGTAATAAAATTTTAAAATCTAAAATTCCCACTCTGGAATTGAACCCACAACCTTCAGATTTCGAGTCAGTAGTCCATACCATTGGACTAAGTGTAATTTCACAATTTTTAAAGGTTACGAAATTAACAATAATGTTTTATTTTACCCAAAAAAGTAATAAAATTTAAAATGTAAAATTCCCACCCTGGAATTGAACCCACAACCTTCAGATTTCGAGTCAGTAGTCCATACCATTGGACTAAGTGTAATTTCACAATTTTTAAATGTTACGAAATTAACTATGAAGTTTCAATTTACCCAAAAATAAATAAAATATAAAATTTCCAACCTGGATTTGAACCCGCAACCTTCAGATTTAGAGTCAGCAGTCCATACCATTGGACTAAGCATAATTTCACACTTTTTTGTGGGTACGAAATTAACTATTAAATTTAAATTTACCCAAAAAGACATAAAATTTTAAATCTAAAATTTCCACCCTGGATTTGAACC